ATTTCCATCATTTGTACTTCTCCATCATTTCCATCATTTGTGTTCCCATACCACATGTTTTCTGCGCTGCTATCTTCATACCACCTTACCAATCTTTCGTCATCACCACAATATTGAGGAGGCACAAAATTGACAAAAATCACGGGAGATGATACGAGATAATATGTGTGTCACTGTTTGGATGAATTATATTTGTGCTTCATCTTTCATCCAAGATAACTGTTTATTTATCCCCGTGATTATGGATAATGAAGGATGAAGGTAATTAAAGGGTAAGATATAAAATAGCTGTGGAAAAAAAAAAAAAAAAAAAAGCAGAGATTCCTTTTTGCCAAAAAAAAAAGAACCAAAATAAAAACATTTTACTTGATATCTCGAACTTAGTTTTAGTTTTATCATTTTTATCTTGAACAATTTTGTTTTTAGTTTACTTTTACTTTTTTTTTGTAATAAATTTAATATTAATAAATAATTTAGCATAGGAGATAGCAAAGTGATAAGATACGTACGCCAAAGCAGTAATATATCACAATTGTTATATTCCCATGCATAACTTAAATAAATTCTAATAAACTATTTGATATTTCTTGGCAAGCTACATTGAAAGTCTGTTTCAATTTTCGTTATTGTGCACAGCAGTCAGTAAAAGATACTTTTACTCTACTTGCACATTGTACCTTCAGATATAACACGTGATTATATTAGCCATGGTTGTTAGTAAGCAGGTTTAGATCAACTGATTGCATGATCTTACTACATTTTGAGTATAAGGAATAATATTTATTGTAATAAGTCTGAGACTGACTAACCAGATTTTTAATTGATCTCACTAATTTGAAAGCCGTGATAAGTAAACAGTATTATAATCAGATCTTAAAAAGCAATTTAAGATACCATCTATACGTAAAGCTGAAACTGATTAAAAAATTTCTAAAGGTTTTTTGAATTACCAAGCGTTCAAATTAATACAACTGAATCCAATATTCAAGTTAATGTTAAAGTAGTATTCAAAATCTTTTTCACTGTAAATCATAGCAAATGAAGCATAATAAAACATGAAATTAAAAGAAATAATCGTGATAAATGAAAAAATTATTTTCGTATAAAAGAAACTGCATCGTAACGAAACTAGAGGCGAGCTGATTATCAGATAAGCAAGCTATTTACTAATAAACTCGATTTATGTAAATCAATCCAGGCCTTTACCGTCTTCTAGGTGCATACAAAAATGAAAGACCAAATGATCTGAGTAATGAAAGAAATATTTGATATTTTATCTGATCGCATGCAATTTTCCTACAGGTCGACTTCAAAAATTCGATATGAGCAGTTAAATTGCTGCCAAGTACTTCTGTGGCAAGAATGAACTCATTGCCAAATTACTATTTCGGAAAGGCCTTATTGATCAATCCACGTAAGTATCAATTGTTACTTAATTCAGTCCATTTTATACTTAAAATGTAGAAATGAATCACTTTTGATACCTTATAACCATAACTCGAAATAAATATTTAATTAAAACTCTTATCATTCAGATTTAGGAGAATATATTTGAAAAAAAATATAATTTCGACATTGTATCATTTTTCAAATTCATGAATGAGTTCATACTTTTCTAAATTAACTTCCAATGTGTGTTCTCTCATTCATGTCACGAATGCCAAAATGCAGTGTACCCAATTGAATACTCAGTAGAAATCGTTTTCATCTTCATGTACAAAAAAAAATGCATTATTAATTTAACAATCTTATATCAATGTAAATTGCTGTCATTGCAATATAAACTACCTTTTTAAAGATACTTGCAATAAAATAAATAAATTTACAAATTTATTTATATGAATTATCATACAAGGATAAAAAAAAATGATGATTATTCTAAGAAACAGTATATGCAACTAAAATTTTTCTTCTCTTATTAATTAAACTCTCAATACCACTTTTGAATTGTACAATGGTAAACTAAAATTCAAGCCAGTAAATTTACATATAATATACATATTGGTATTAATAATAAATTGAATAAATATATATATATATATAAATACATAGCTACTCATCTGAGTTAGAATTTACTTGGTCAAGTGGAGCTTTAAAATAATCACCATCATCGTTGATAATTTTTACATCCTGTCCTTGTTCTTCCCGTTTGCAATGAGTATCGGTACAATTGTCACAATAAGCAAAAAGGACTCCTTCCTCATCACAATTTAAGATCAGATCGTCAAGTCTTTTTGATATAAAAGGCCATGTTCCATTTTTTCGATATTTGGGACTTATTTCTTCTGTAAAATCATAGAGAACTTTGTCGCATTTATCGACAATAAGGTATTTATAACAATTCTTTTCAGGATCAACAAGCCCGTCACTGAAGAGACCAGCTATAACGGTTTTTCCATATTCGTCTTGGGCGAAGACGACTTCTCCCCAAACTACGGGGCCGCAGAATGTAGCTGTTGCAAGGGTACAAGGACAAGTATCATTTTTTTCATGAGTTCGTTTAAAGAGTTCGGATGAACTTCTGTAAATATTAGGATGAGCAACTGCCGAAACTGCCGATAAGGTATAGATGGAGAGGGTAAAGATGCTTAAAACAAAAGAGATAAATTTCGAGTTCATTTTTATTATATATTAAAGTTGTAAAAAAACCGTAAAAAAAGTCGATAAGCGAATTATTATTTTTTTTTGTATTAAGAAAAGAAGTTTTCGCTGTGGAAAACGGATGGGAGAGAATAAAAAAATGCACTCTTTTTATATTTTAATGAATCATTGTGTTCTTTTGGAGGTTCAAATATTGTTCTATGCGATACCGATTGGCGATTACCATATTTATGTAAACATTCTTCTATTTTACATATGCACAAGGAGTAAATTTTCTTTTAAGAGACATTTGATAGTTAGATGTTTACTTGTGCATCAGTGCTCGAATCATGCGATACATGATTACTAAAAAGCGATAAATCAATGACAACTATCGTTCTGATAATGCCGCAATTTTTCTATTATCATATATTATTGAATATATAATTAGAAATCTTATTCAAAAAAAAGATATCATAATTTTTTTTTATTAAAGTAACATCCAAAATAGCGAGAATAATAAATTAAGTCTTTATTACGTATAAGGGTAGAACAAATTTGATTTTATCATTCATCTAACATCAAATGAGTATATTAATATGTTCAAATATGTTCTAATTTGTTCTATTTTTATATTAATTATATTGTGTTTTATTTACGCATAGAATATCGGCTGATTGTTAAAATCGTAATCACGCGATGTCTCTTAACCAATCATAATTTAATTATTTTTACGAAGAAATTAAAATTAAAAAACAACTCAATAGTTTTTTAAGACAACTGCTTTTTAATCTCCAAATAAAAGTATTCAGCACAAAATTTTACATATATTTATGTTTTTTAAAAATATATTATTTAATAAACAAAAGCTTAAACCTAGTAAACTTATTTATTAAATGTCAACCCGACCCTAACCCATCAATAACCACTCTCTACCCTCTTTTTATTTCTTGCTTCATATGTTTAATGATGTTTTTTATTTTAAGTTTGTCTACTTTATACTTAAAGAACAGAAGGTAAATAAGACAGCATTTGTGTAACAAATTATTAATCAATTTCAGCCGATATGGTACTACAGTATTCTACTATGGAAATCTTTAATTTAATTCAATGAAATTATCTTGATTGTTATTGTTTCACAATAAACAATTTGCATTATCTGTTGTTTTTCTTGATTGTTATTGTTTCACAATAAACAATTTGCATTATCTGTTGTTTTGAATCAAATGACGATTGACAATTCTATTTGTATTATCATATAATTATTTATATATTATTAAACCAAACCATTTCTTAGGTATCCAATTAAAATATGTATTTTGATTTAATTTTTTAATTACGATAATAAATTAAATAAATTTAAAATTTTTGAATTATATACAATCTTAAAGTTTTCTTGTCTGTTAAATTTACTTACCATATTTCATTTTATTATAAAATGTAATTTATGTGATTGGCACTTGATTTACAACAAACAAACAATTATAAAAAATGAACAGTTGTTAGTTGTTATTGTGAAACGATGACCATCATTTCCACATTCATTTTAAAATATTTTATTTATACTTAAACGAGTTGAACAAAGGATATAAAATATTTTTAATATTTTTAATTACGATAATAAATTTAATAAATTTCCTTAGATAAATTTGTCATCCGATTTGTATGAGTACAAGCATGTACAAATAGAATAGTAACATAAATAAACACCTATTTGATGCTAAAATTATGAAAATATTAGAACGTATATGTTCTCATTTGATGTGAGAACGGTTCAGCCAACAATCCAAATCTAAAGTGTTTTAAATGAATTACGTTTTACAAAAGGATCGGAATTATAAAATCAAAAGATCAATCTTCCACACTTGTAAAATATAATACGGGCTTACTTGATTTTTTATTCTCGATAGCATCATCATGGTAAAGGTATAAAAAAAAGTTGGTTTGGATTTACTTAATTATGTTTCTTGATACCATAAAAATTATTGACATCTATCCTTTTTTTATTGAATAGAATTTCTAATTATATATTCAAACAATATAATTATGAAAGTCGGATTTTTTTTAGAGCATAGTTATTTAACAATGACTCCGTGGCGTGTAATATGATATGATAATAGAAAAATTCAAGGCATTATCGAAACGAATGATGTTTGATTCGAGCACTGATGCACAATTTAATTGAGAAAATTTCATTCAAAGTAATGGTGAGCTGATTATCAAATGTCTCAAAAAAGAAAGATAAATATGTCAAAAATAGTTTTCTTATTTTTTTTTGAACAATGTTTACATAAATATGTTTATCGTATAGTACTATTGTGAGAAGGTTCATTATTTTTGAAAATGGTCGAACCTTCAAAAGAACACAAGGATTCATTTAACAATATAAAAAGTAGTATTTCTTCTTTCTCCAATCCGTTTTCCACAGTGAAAGAAATTTTTTTAATAACAAAAATAATAATTCGCTTTTCGACTTTTTTTACGACTTTAATATTAACATATTTTTTTCTCTTATCACTACATATTACAATAATAAAAATGAACACAAAATTTACATTTTTTGCTTTAAGCATCGTTGTCCTCTCCAACATCTTATCAGCAGTTGCTCATGATTATGTTATTAAATACAGAAAACGATTACCCGGACTCTTTAAAGTAATATGAAAAAAACGATACTTGTCTTGTACTGTCACAACATCTACATTCACCTCCAAAGTTTGGGGAGAAGTGGTCTTCGGTCAGGATCCTTGTGGCGACACCCTTGTGGCTGGTCTCTTCGGTGACGGGCTTGTTAATCCTGAAAAGTATTGTCATGATTACCTAATTGTCAATAAATGCGGCAAAGTTCTCTATAATTTAACAAAAGTTTTAAATATCAAATATCGAAAAACGGAACGTGGCCATTTTCAGTAGACTTAGTGACCTTAACCTTGCTTTTTGTTATGACGATATTTATAACTATACTCATCATGATCATCATGATCATCATAAACGAGATGGACTTGGAGAATCGTAAATGGTGATACTTACGAAAGCGCTCCAATTAACGAAATTGGCAATGGCAATAACTAAAGTGGGTAGTGTGTCTGATTTTTTTTACAAATTTAAATTCGTTGAAATTACAATTATTATTGTTATCGTTAGTTATTAGTTATTAAAATGCTTTTTCCAAATACATACCTTTATAATTAATAATCACAATAATAAAAATAATTAATTAGTTAACCAAATATTGAGAAACATATAACATATATGTATAAATTTATTTGATTTATTATTATTGTCAATAAGTATATTGAATAAATGTACATCAGTCACCAGAAATGTCACAAAATTTGAGGACTAATTTTCTTTTACTAAATTAAATTCGCCAAAATTTATTTGTTCATTAATTTTTAAATCATAATTATGGCCAAATTTGTATTTGTTAAAGCCGTTCAATTTTTTAATGCCAGCCTAAAACCCAAAAATTCAAATAAAATTTTTTCCATTTTACAAACTTAATAATATATAAGGGTAGCTGCGCATAATATGAGACCAGTGCAATCTGTGCTGTATACAATTTGATCGGGAGTTATCTGATATTTGATCTGTGTATTTTTTGGTATAGTTCTTGAAAATTATGACATTTTCTTCTATTTGTAAGCAAATATAACAAAAAATAAATATTTGATACCTTCTGTTGACCAAGTAAAACATAACAATTTGTAAACCAGCTTAGTAAAATTAAGATTCAAGTAATTTCATATCTTTTGACCAATTTTAATTAGTCACTCAAAGGCAATTTACTTTGATCAATGCATTGAAATTACATCACAAAGTTCTGGATGTAAAATGAAACTGTGAAAAAAATTCGTGAGTATTTTTAATAAAAAAATCATCTTTCAATCCGTTTGTAAGCCAGCTTAGCAAAAAAACAGATATTCAAGTACTTTTATGCCTTCTGAAAAGTTTTAATTAGTCGCTTAAAGGCAGTCTTTATTGAAATTATGTCTCAAAGTTCTGGATGTAAAATGGAACTGTAAAAAAATTCGTGAGTATTTTTAATTAAGGAAAAATTTTTCTTTCAATCCATTTGTAAGACAGCCTTGGCAAAAACAAATATTCAATTACTTTCATAACTTTTGAATAGTTTTAATTAGTCACTCAAAGGCAGTTACTTTGACCAATACATTAAAAATTATGTCTCAAGTTCTAGAAGAATAAAAAATTTGTGAGTATTTGTGCATTTGATGAATATTAAAGATAGATATCAATTATCATATATATGAAATTGTAGCCAGAAATAATATTTATAACTTTAATTAGAAGCACTTTTCATAGTATCTAATGAAAATTTAGACTTTACTTTGGCATGAATAAAAATAGTCAAAATTTAATAAAAATAAAAATTAAAATAAAAAAATCTGAAAATAATAATTGATCGTTCAACCACCTGCAATGCAAAGACTTCCTTTTTGATAGATCTATAATTGTTTTTTTGATATATAAAATTTTCATGTGATAAAATAGTTATCTTTTTGATATATCTATAAATAAATAATTAAAGGCATAAACCACTTTTTTTATACGTATTTTGATATATCAAAAAAAAATAATTAAGAGTCTATCAAAAATGAAACTTTTGCACCTGTAACTTTATCATTTATTAATAAAACAATAAATATAGTACTAAGTAACCTTAAATCCTGATGTATAGAGCATCTTTTATAAAAATTTCAGTCATATATATTGAGAATTAAATAAATAATAGATAATTAAATTTCAGAGAATAATTTTAAAATGTCTTGTTAATATTAAGTTCAACTCTCAATTTAAAAATCTGAAACTTTCACAGTAGATGTTCTATATATTTGACTTTAACTTTATTTAGTATCTATTTTTTATTTATTAATAGACAAGGAAGTTTAAAATGTGAAAAGAATTGATAATTATTTTTAGATTTTTTTTAATTTTTAAAAATGAGTGACAGATTTTGTTACTGTAAAAATTTTTCTATTATAAAAATCCATGTCGATCATTTTTAAAAAATCAAAAAAAAAAAAATTTTGAAAATATTCACATATTAAACATCTTTATCTATTAATATAACAGTATAAATAATACTAAGTAAAGTTAAGCCTAATATATGGAGAATCTACTGTAAAAGTTTTAGATTTTTAAATTGAGAATTGAACTTAATATTAACAGTACATTTTAAAATTATTCTCTGAAATTTAATTATCTATTATTTACTTAATTCTCAATATATAGGACTGAAATTTTTACAAAAGATATTTAAGGTCACTTAATATCACAATTATTGTTTCATTAATAATTTAATAAAGTTATGAACATATGAACGATTGATAATTATTTCAGATTTTTTTTTATTTTAATCTTTATTTTATTAAACTTTGACCATTTTTATTCACGCATAAGTAATGTCCAAATTTTCACTAGATACTATGAAACGTGTCTCTAATTAAAGTCATAGATATTATTTCTGGTTACAGGTTCATATAAGATAGTTGACATTAATATTTAATATCTATTATTATTTTTTGTCAATTTCATTAGAAGTGTGATTTCTCTATGTACATATAGATGTTCAATTATAACACAAAATATATCATATTATATAACTCAACAAGATATTCAAATATCAACCTCCTGATTTTGCATCCTCTGTAATATAACTTATTAAGAGTAAACAGTTGAAACTTCACAATAATATCTCAGTATAAATATAATTGGTTCGGGTGTAATATTCCGTAATTTTAACATAGCATTAAATTTCACACAATATTATGGAATTTTTCAAAAATTTTCAAAATTTATTGAAACATTGAAATTCTGAAATATTATGGATGTAATCTTCTGTAATTTTAATACTTTAAAAATTTTCGCATCGAAATTTTCAGAAATTTAACATATTTAAATTTTCAGAAATTTGATACTTTGATTTTGAAAAATTTCGAAGTTTGTTGATATTATAAATACTGTATCATCTCTTTATGAATTTTGATTATACTTACTGATTTGTTGATTTTTTTGTATATTATAGATTTTAAAAATTTATTTTATTGTATTCTTCGCATATTTATGTAGCAATTTATTATTATAATAATAAAAAAGTATAATATAAAATTATAATATAAAAAATCATAAAAATATATATTATTATTATTATTATTATTATTATTATACATTACAATATTCTCGAACAATGCAAAACTATTGAACATATGCATCTTTTTGGTTTTATTTATGAATCTTATTCTAGAAATTTCCTTTTTTTTTGTTTGGCTCGAAAGACAATTCTCTATTGTTTTAAGGAAGGAATTGTAAGTTCATTATTTCTTCCTATCATTTCTTTCAATTCATCTAACATATCGCATAAAGAATAGAGTCAATGCTGTTACTACTTTTTTTATTAACCCTTTTTTTGGATTCATTTATTAAGTTAGATAAATAACCTTGATATATAATATTTTATCACCAATATATTCATGATAATATCAGATCATCATATAAATATGATGGATAATTATTTAGTAAAGGTCAAATATAAACTCGTTTATTTAAATAATTAAAAACAAAATATACTATTTTTTCAAATTAAATTATGAATAAATCTAAAATAAATATGCCACAAATGTGTATAATGCACTACCTCAATATAGTAAAGTAAATAATGATATATTTTATCAAGGCATTACTTCTTGTAAGCTTCCTTTTTCCGTATTTTATTCTTCTTTTTTGACGTCAATTACTTCATTTCAAGAGAAAGCCATTGCATTAATGAATACCTCCTAATCTTTCTTCTTACGGTTTCGATGTCTCTATCTTTTCATTTGTCCTTTCATTTGTCCTTTCAAATATCTGAAGTCCATGTCGATAAAAATTAATTGTTTGAAATAATCTGCCAATAACATTTATTAATAAGTTAAGACATTGAGAGGTGAGGGTAAGAATAGGAATTATATCATATGAAACCACATTTCTAAAGTATAATATCTAAAAGTATTGAAAATTTTTATAATTAGAAAACAAAATAATAATAATAATTTTTTTCATATAAATAAAAAAAAAAGAATTTGAAGACTGACCTGAATAATCACTTGCGGTATATCTTCAAGAAAAATGTTTAACCAAGAACACCAAAAGATTCTACTTTTTCCTTTATTTGAAAACGGAGCATTGAGAATTTCAAACCCGGCCAGAGTTGAATAGATAATACTTAATGCTTCAATGTCAGCACCTGATAAAACTGTAAATATTGATACCACTCTTCCATATCGAATGGACCATTGCATGAATTTTTCAGATTTGCTTTCTTCAGAGATAATATAAAATGCCCAACTAATGTTGACGGCGATTGGAACGATCAAGAATACGAGACTATTTATATAAATTATATAAGTTTTTAATAAATAAATGAATAAGTAAGTTTGATATAAATATATAAAATATAAAATATGTATATATATATTAATCAATAAATTTACCTTGGAATATATAATTCTTTAACAATAGTACTATTGTAAGTGACGAAAAGGGTATCCATTACAAAATCAAAAATAATTATTCCAAGTTGTAAAATAGCCACGTTACGACCCTTTAAGATAATTTAATAATGTCAATATACTCAAATTTACAATTTTCTATAATATTCTAAAACAAATAAGATGTCTTTTTTTTTACCTCTTTTTTTATATCTTTTTTCCATGCTAATGCGAAAAGACATATTAAAACTCCAAATGATAAAATAACACCCATAAATCTTATCCAGTATTCATTCCATAAGTTTTCTAATGAAAAAAGAAAGAGTGATTAATAATGATAACATATTAAATAAGTTTAAAATTCAATATATATACTATATATACTCACGTTGTTGTTTGAATCCATACGCTTCATCTAAATAATTCGTGTTAGGGAATAAACTAATGGCAGTTATACTTTTATGTTTAATCATATTATGTAAATCTTCTATAATAAATTTTACACTTCTTTCAGTTCTGGATGATTGAATTCTAAGATTAATTAATATTTGAGTATTAGGTTTAATAGTATTGTCAACTTGGAATTTCTCATTTGAACTTAGTCGTTTATAATCAATAGAAAGAATTTTAGATAATTCAATTATTAGATTTGAAAAAAAATCAGATTTTTCAGATGAAGTAAGAAGATAGTAATGGTTGGTGCCTTCTTCTGTTAAACGCATAATTCCAGATGCTGTACCTATTGTAGAAATTTTCAATACATTTTGAGTGATATTATATTAAAACACACATAATAACAATTGCCCTGCACTGAAATTTACTTGCAAAAGTTTCTTCACTTGAATCTAAAAATCGTCGGTGTATAAAGAGAGAAAATATTTAGTATTTAAATTAATAACATATAACTGATAATAAAATAAAAATAATTCATTTACATACATGTATTGAATTTCCAAATATTATCATCTATACCCATTAAAGGTTCACCGTATTTTTTGCTTCTTACAAAGTTATTATCAACTTTAACATAATATTGACTATTAGGATAACTAAAGGTACTTTCGATAACTTTTACAATTACAGTTAATCCATTATCAGAGATGGAACAAAATTTATCATTGTTGCCAACAACAAATTGTCGAGTAACGTTGTTATCAATTCGATAGATCCAAATATACCCATCAGAAAGTTCTACTGGTTCATAATATGAGATTGTAATAGAACCAGTATCCATAAATTTTGAAGGATTAGAAATAATCGCATTTATTTTTGGACTTGTAGAATTTATTAGAGCATTTGAATAACCATTATCCGAAAATCCTGAGTAGTTAGGAATATCAGTGGTAAGAAAACTCCACGTATCATTATTTTCTCTTTGTGACACTAACAAAGTATTATTAGGCAGAATTAACAAAACTCCTCGTAAATTTAAAACTGTTGGTTCAGAAAAATCCCAAACATAAAATTTATTTTCGATTTCGTTATAATAATATCCATAAGAATAGGTCCTGGATTTTGCATCTAGAAAATAACCATAGAATAAATAACCACCAAAAGGAATACTTTTTACTTGCCATCCTGTAGTAGTATTTGAGGGTAATTCGGGTAAGATGTGTAATGAAGTGATTTTTGTTACAGAGCCAGATATTAAGAAATCAAGTTTCACATAATAATCATTGTAACTGGTACTAGTGACATTGCTCTGTGTGTCATTGTTCTGTGTGATGGACTGTCTGACGTCAAGTAAACAAACTTGTCCAACCCCAGTACTAGAAATACTACAAAACATTTGATATATTGTAATATTAGGTAAGTGTGATTGATAAAGCAATTTTGGTGCACTAAATTGTGTTTCATTATATCCTATTTTTAAATCATACACCGCGGCTTGAATTTCCAAAGGATCGTCGGGATTAGCAGATTTGGAGGTGGAATTTCCCATAATTATGCTATAACCCTCGTCAACAGTAGCTACGGTATTGAATATTGCAAAAGCTCCATCTTCCATGGGAAGTGTAATATTTCCTTCCGATAACTTTATAAGATTGAATGAATCATCTCTAAAAAATAAATTAAAATTAAAATTAAAATTGTAAAATTGAAAATCTTATAATATCAAACTTATGTCAATATAAAAACTCACATCATATATTGTTGCCACTCGACATAAGTTGCATTCTCCGCAGCTGTCCTTATAAAACCTTTTGATGGATCAACGTTAGTTATTATCGCCGTATTTGATGTGTACCATATATCATTCCTAATATAAGCCCCTCCGAAATTTACTTCACTTTAATAGTTTAGATAATAATTGTCATTGTTATTAAAAATAATATGATATAATATGATATTATCATGAAAGAATTGTTGGAAATATTTACCTATATAAATTACCATACCAATCAATAATACGTCCACATTCTTCATAAGTTGTAAAATCGGTCGTATTTGAAGCTTTAAAGTATCTAACAATTAAGTAGCCCCTATGAAGCGCATCTACACTTATAGGGTCCTGGTTAGCATCAACACCAGGAATTTCAAAAATGAGCCAGTTAAAATCTTGAATCCCTAGGTCTTTGTCTATTTCATTGACTGTTCCATTGGGATGAATAATGCGTAAAGATAACAGTGGTCTTGTCCACGTTCCAGTAGTAGAAGTTTTATTAAGATCACCACTAATCATTCGAAGAACCACTGTCCCATCGATATATTCCCCGTGTTGCCATATCCGTCGTGGTGCGGGGAATGAATTTGTTTCATTATGTGTAAAAATTCCAAGACCAAATACCGAAGACGTCAGAGAAAAAATTTTTATCCACGCTATTATCAAAACCATCAAATTTAAACTTGATCGTATCATTATGATGAATTAATAGCAATTTATTTTTAAAAAAGATAAATTTTGTGGATTCAAGCCCGCGAAAATTTAGTGCCAAGTTTTTTTTATTTTTAACGGAAAGTGAATTATGGGTACTTTTATGTAATGGATATGAGGAAAAAAATTTGTGACACCAAGTTGTTTCTAAGTTATAGCCAATCTCTAAAAAATAATTTCTTTACGATATCTTAGATATTTAATAAATAGATAAATGATTGTGTTTGCATAATGTGCACAATATCGATGCAAAAAAATATGAAATAAAAACCTGATCATTTCTTTTCACCATTCAGCATACGATTCATCATTTATTTATTCATTACTGAACATACGATTCAGCATTTATTCATTATGAACATACGATTCAACATTTTTTCATTATTCAATTACAAAGATAATGGTTCTAAATAATCTAAAAAAAGAATATGTATAAAACTTGATCTATCGTTCAGATTATCTGTACTCTGCATATTATTTTTGAATAAAAATCTTTCTTTATGCTGACTAAAAGTTGTTTTTTACTTCTGTTATTATATACAACAATAATAAAATTTAAACATACAGTATTTTCAATGCCGGAGCAAAACCCATTTTCTCCGGCGACCGAAAAAATTTCCTTTTACGTCAGTATTTGTATCTGTAAAAATATAAATTAATTTTAGACTTTTGAACGTTTGTAACAACAACAATACAATATTAGTAATCTCATTGTAAAAAAAACAAAAACTATAAGTGAACAAAAAAATGTCATAAGTTTAGATTATTTCCTGCAAAAACCAATTAATCTAAAAAAGTAAGTGTCACGTTTGATGGTAATTGCATTTTTATTCAAAATAATTATTTTTCTATAATAAATGTACGAAATATATATATGGAAGAAAATAAAATGTATAAAAAAAGAAAGGATAATTTAATAAATGATGAAATCAATCTTTGAAATGTTTATTTATGATTATTATTATCATTATTTTTAAACATCACAATACAGTACATTGATCAATTTCTGTACGTAGAACGTGTGTTTGTTCGAAACATTAGAGTTAAAGAAGATTTTCTTCCGCGAGGAAGCTTTATATATTGCTCAGCTCAAGGAAATATTAATTAACCATTATTGCAGAGATGATTTGTAATAATAATAGCAATTATAAAATAATTTTTTAATGATAATAACAATAATAAATTACCAGTAATAGAAACAACTAATTAATAATGATAATAATAATATAGCCGACAACCTATCAATGACTGTGTTTCTCTTTGATCTAATCGGCTCACTAAGAGAAAAAAATGTTAAAGGTTATCCCGATAATCCTAATTTATTATATGTTGTGCCTCAGATCGATGCTTTGCGTCGCTGCCAGATTTGCCTAACCCTAACCTTAACTTTGGCCAGTTTAATCTGACGCAAACGTCGATCTGAGGCACAACATATATAATATATATATAAAATAGTTACTCTATTATTGTGGAAAGTAATTTTTACCAAGTCTTGGAGAATTAAGTGATATATAGAAAGAATTTAAAAAATGTGGTACTTGGATTACCGATTCATAATAATAATAATAGGTATCATAAAATTTTACAATTTCAGCAATATATCTCTCAGCTAATTTTAGGTACCACTGAAATTACTTAGCTTTGATCGAATGTCCGTGCGTTCCATATCTATCTGATGTATAATCGGATTTCCTTTCCTCGCATGGATGCATTCGGAAAAAATTATGACGTTTATGGTTCTATCCGCTTCATTGTTTTTCTTCCCTCTTCCGATCCAAATTTTTGTACATCAGAAATATAATATCTTACTCAAAAAAAAAATGATGATTCTCGAGGACGTAAATTTCAAGTGTATCGTAATATTAGTAATTTTATTTTTAAGGATTTTACAGACTTAACTCGTGTAAATAATGTGTTGAGAAATGATATTGTCTTTATCAATATATTATAGTCGCGATGTATAATAGCATTTCTGAGATGAGTTGATTATTTATTATTTTAGTATTTTTTATTTATTTATTAATAATATTTATTTAATTGTTTAGTTTGTAAAAGTTTCAACAAGTTTTAGTCTCGAGGATCAAAAAGTATTTCTATTTTGGGTCAAGTTATTACAATCCTAAACTTTGCAAATCCTGATGATCCGAAGAAAGATAAGGTATTCATGCATTATTGTTTAATTTATAATTTAAATATTTAACTCTATAATGTTTGATATATTTTATACATATAATAGGGCAAATCATATTTTGCGGTTTTGATTTTTATTTTTGGGAAAATCAAAGGTAAAAAAAAAAATAATAATACACGCATACACACACTGTGTGTGACACTTCTAAAAAATTTAATCTTTGAATGCTACCCATACTGAACTCGATGCATATTAAAGATAGATACCAACTATCTTATATAGAATTGTGCCAGAGAAAATATATACAATTTTAATTAGAAGCAGTTTTCATGGTATCTAGCGAAAATTCGGACTTTACTTAGTCGTGAATAAAAATGGCCGAAATTTATTAAAAATTTTAAAAAAAATAAAAAAAAATCTGAAAACATTTATCAATCGTTCTACATATCAAAGTTTTTACTTATTAAAGTAGTAATAAAATAAAACTAAGTAACATCAAAAGCTGAGAATATATGGCATCTTATGTAAAGTATTCAGACATATTTAATTAAAATTGAGCGAATAATTAGCGATTAAATTCCAGAGAATAATTTTGAACGTCTGGCATACAGCCGTTGATATTAAATTCATGTCGTAAGTAAAAATTTTAAAAACTTTCAAAAGATGCTAAACATTCTTAGCTATAAGATCAATTAATAAGATATTTACTATTTTATTATTGAATTATGAGCATTTACAGTATATGTAGTAGCGTTTGATAGTTATTTTTTGAATTCAACGGTAAAATAATCGACAATAATGCCTTAGCGGTGGGCAAATTTATCGTTGATCATTTTATCTTTGATATTAAAAAGTCCAAAAATAATTATCAAAAGTTATTACATATTAAAGTTCATTATTTATTAATGAAATAACAAATATTTTACTAATTAATCTTATAGCTATGAATGCAGAGTATAATTATTAAAGTTTTTAGAATTTTTACTTACGAATTAAATTTAATATCAACGGCTGTATGCCAGACATTCGAAAATTATTCTCTGGAATTTAATCGCTAATTATTCGCTCAATTTTAATTAAATATGTCTGAATACCTTACATAGAATGCTATATATTCTCAGCTTTAATGTTACTTATTATTATTTTTATTATTATTTTATCACTCTTTGCAAAATTATGCGGTCATGTGATAAAACGATCTACTAATAAAATGCCAAAAACCAGTGATTACAAAATACGTGTCATATGAAAAAATTTATATTACATATTAATAACTAAATTAAAATGCATGG